TCTGTTCTACAAATGCAGATCCCCTTCTCCTCCCTCAGCGGTGGACAGAGCAGAGTGAATAACACAAATAAAACTAAGAAAACAACCCTATACAGAACGCCTTGAAAATAATAGGATCAGACGTAGTCACGAATGGAACACAGCAAGTTCGAAACGTGCATTCTGGACCTTAACCTGAGGCGCTGTTGAAAGAAACTAAAGCAGATCCAGGCAGGTAGGAAAACATCCATCCCCCGTCCCGTGTTCATCACTGGAAGGTTAAGACAGTGCAGAAGGCAGAACTCCCTCCCACTGTCTATAGCACCCAGTGCAATCCCTGTGTAAATGCCAGTTGGCTTCTTTGCAGACAGATTCCAAAATGTGTCTGGAAAGTCAAAGGACCCAGAACCACGCTGGCAGCCACCCACTTCCCTATTTCAGACGGATTTCAGGGCAACGATAACCAACACCATGTGGTATGAACGTCCAGACTGAGAGAGGAGTCCGGGATTTAACCCCTCACACCCACGATCCACGGGCTGTTGAAAAGGGCGGCTTCAAACAGTCAAACTCTGTAGCACAGCACAAACCATTGGCGGCTTACATTGTAACTTTTTCCAATTTGATACTGAAAAACCAACAAACCAGAAATCCAAGAGTCTCCCCCCTCAGCCTAAGAAGGGTAAGCCCTCAAGACAAGAGACATTAGAACGCTGCTGCTTTGACAGCTAAAACACAAAGCACCTGTGCTGGCTCCCTGGGATGGGGCCATGGGTAGCAGTCAGCAGATACTTCTGAAACTTCCTCATATCATAGACAACATAAAGCCTCCGTAAACCCCAAAGGCTGAAAGTAGTGATCTAGTCACTAAGCTCTAGAAATTATAAGAAAACCAAAGGCGTCCAGGAAGAAAAAGAATATTTGGAAATGGATGGTGGTAGCAATGGTACAATTCTTCTTGATGTGCGTGATTGCACGATGGAACGATATATATATTAACTCCCAATAATAAAATTTTAAAAATCCGTTAAAAAAGAGTAATACAGACAACAGCAAAAAGGCATTATAGCGACCTCGGTTGTCAAACAGTGCCAAGCGTTGACTTTCCGTTAGGTAACAGGACAGGAACTAGGGGTTGTCCCAACATGCTGAGGCCTCCCTTCCCCCTTACAGGAAATTGGAAGCCCATCAAGGCATGCCCAAATTCAGACCCTTGAGACAGGAAGCCAGTACACCTGGGAGGGCCCCAATCTAGGCCAGGTGAGCGCTAATTCAGTCAATGGGTCAACCAGTACCATTGCCCACACCTCCCAGCAGAGGGCCATAAAAAACCGGAATTGGGAGCCCGTCCCCTCCCCGCTTTCTATCTGCTCCCGGGCTGTGCTGAGGTTTCTCTGGCCTCAGGTGTCCACGTGTAGGTGTGACCTGCCCTGAGGGGGCCTGTGTAAAACCTGAAACTCCTTCCATCCTTTATAAAAACCCACTTGGATCACAAACCAGGCTTCGGTGTGAAATCTTTCTCCTGCGAAGCCAAGGACCGAGGAACCTTAACACTCCACTCCTCCAACAGCAACGTTCGTAAAGAAATACGCAAAAGACCCCGCGCAGTGTTGTCCCGTTGCTCGGCAGTCACACGGCACGGAAATCGGACGTGAGAAAACCCATCCAGGCGGAGC